TATTATCATGCATCCGACTATATGGTTAAGGTGGAGTGGGATTTAATAATGATGTTTATTATTTTTTTAAATGATTTGGAATAACCTTAATTTAAAATTTTTTTAAGTTATTTTTTTGCTCTTTTTGTTGTGATTAGCCGTAAGAAATTCCATGTAACTACAATAAATTTATTTTTATAAATTCTTATAAGTTTTAATTTTGTATTCTTGTATAATAAACAGACATCTTCTCTAAGCAAATATTTATACAAAATAAAGTTGTTTTTGTTTTGAAACTATTTCTCTATTTAACCATGAAGCTTGTGGCATATGCAAATTTACTTGAGAAAGATTTCTAGAGCTTTATTAATGTTTTCCTAAGTGGTCAGAAGTTAAGTTTTTAGTTTATTGTTTTTGAATTACTGCAACTAAAATATAAACTTGCTTGCTGCAGATGCTACCGGCACTAGTTTGTACCTAATATAGCTGTTAGCGTCGTGTTCATTTGCCAGAATTACTTGAGTTTGTATTGCGAATGAAAAAAAATTACTAATAAACACAAAAATGTATGCTTCAAACAAGTAAAGTACGGCGTAGACAACTTGTTTATAAGTAAATAATTTATACCTCGAAGTTCTTCGCTGTTTTGTCCTGTTTTCTATTGCTATGTATTTTATGTGATATCCATGGGAATCGTGAAGGTGTTAACGGTGCTCACGGACTTATTGCAATGTTTACAATAACAACAATGACAGACAGTCATAACAGTGAAATAAGTATGGAAGGTATAAAAAAATAACAACTGTAAGCAACTCATCACTTGTCAGAAAGTTGCAAGTTAATTGTTGTTGCAATGTTTCACAATTTGAACGTGTGTTTATAGAGCTTGAATTTCAAAATAAATGGAATATTTTTATTTTCACATAAGGTTTAACAAGCAGATTTTTATACAATTTCACAGGATTTTAATAAATTTTTATTTTCAGAATACGGAAAGTATAAAAACAGGTACATTTTTATGCAGTAAAGATTGTTGCTGCATTGTAATGCGGGTATCCATGGCGTATGAGTGATTTTATTTTAGTTCAGTTTAGCCCGCATGGTAAACTGTACAATGTAACTAAAACTGTACAAAGCGGCTGCATGTAAACTGTAAAATTTTGATAAATTATGCTAACTTTTTTAATCGAGATTCATTTTTAGTGCAATTTCGGTTTTTGATTAGTATATCTCGACCAAAATATATAAGACTTGAGAATTATTTAAAACACTCCAGATAATTTGTAAGAGTAACAAGATCACCCTGAAATAAACGGCTGTATTATATGATTTGAAAGATAGAGTGTGATTTGATTTGACATATCCATTTCTGTAAAAAACATATGTCTGCTGAGGCTACTACAAAAATATTAGATTACCCTAAAAATGTTCGATTACGGAATAAATTTAACAGATCGGGAGGGAGTTAATCTAGATTGAATGTAGATTTATTAATTAAAAATCAAACAAAAACAATTTTTTGTGAAAGCATACACACATAAAATGAGAATTTAATGTAACTACGACTCATATCGATCCTTGTCTTTGCTTCGATGTATAATGTATATCGGATAAAGTGAACCTTTTTAATATCATTTCTAACAAAGGTGTTAACTAATTATTATTATTATATTTATTTCAGTAAAGCATACACATTCCAAAATGGTAGAGGTCAAAAATACTATAAATTGATGATTTGACCATAAAAAAGATTATTCATATATATTTAAATGATGAAATCTTCACATTTTTAATTACCATTTACTCTTCTTCTTCTTCTTATTTGGCACTACAGTCCAGTATGAATCTTGGCCTACCTCACGATCTGCCTCCATCTGTCCCTATCTTCTGCTACTCTCTTCCAGTTCAGTACTCCAATCGTACTTGCATCACTATACACGTTCTCATCCCAACTTGTTCTTGACCACTTACTCATTTACTACAAATGTTATATGTTAGGCCTAACACTTAAAAGTGTGCAAAAACTTTAATTCCGGTCTAATTTAAGACATTTCTCTAAAATGCTGTAAATACTAGATAAGATGCTGTGAACTAGAAAAACTGAAATAAAATATCTGCTATGATTATAACTTGTAGAAATTCTGTTCAAAATCGTTCATACTTTATAACAAATAAATTGTCTACTCAGAGAACCCGAAAAATATCCTAAATAATATCCACAATGATTTTAAATTAATAGAGTAAAGAGTAAATGCGTCCAGTTGCACTAACTCGGAAAAACCTCAACATAAGATATAAGCTATCATATCGTCGTTTATTGCGCTTTGATTCAGTTATTATTGGTTGTATCAATATTTATCTTTAAGAATTTATGGTAGATATATTGGAGTTATTTTCACTACTGTTGGAAAAGCTTGTAATATGGTTGTGCATATATATAAACATTGATATTTATAATATTTTTTAATGGTTTATTCAAAATGTTCAACAATCATATTTATTTAAACATCAAAAAATTATACACTAAAACCTACATAAAATTAATTTTCATTAATTTATTCAATTTCAAATATTTTTAACGTTAAAATTTTATTATACCTACATACATTACATATGCAATTTGGACATCCATTCTAACCAAGTGTATATTTTGGTTAGGAAAAACTGTTAATGTTGCTTTTGGCCATTTCTGATTTGATTCCCTTTCGGAGAAATCCTTTCAAAAGAAATTGAATTCTGATTTACAAACAAGCATGAAAAAGGTTGAATTTTGAACAGATGTTCTCCATTTTGAAACACGGATGCGCAATTCTGTTGTGCTGAATTTTAATTATTTTCTTGCAAAAACTAAAATTCAGAGAAAACCCAACTATTTGACATGAACTCTGTAAGTTAAATTTAAGAAAGCTACACTCATCAGCAGTTCAAGGCAAAGCGGCTATGAGCATATTTAAGGCAACTTAGAACAGTTTAAAGTAATGATTTCATATCCAAGTGAAAGGTTCTTGATTTATTACACATAACGATTTTAACTTTTAAGTGACCTTTTCCAAATGTAAATATGGGCATTTCAAAAAAGTTTCTTCTTAAAAGTTGTCAAGTTTTGTTTAACTTTTGTTTTTAAAATATAAAAAGGGCAACTACAGTTTCCTTGAGGCGCAACCATGCAGGCGAGCCTACATATATGATAGCCAATCTAAAAGTTCTCAAATGGGAATTACGTGTTCAAATAGTGCTTAAAGT